CCGCCTCCGCCCCGCCTCCTCCCTCCTCCTCCTCATCCTCCCTCTCTCCTCCTCCTCCTCCTCCTCGGATCCCTCCCCTCCTCCTCCTCGTCCTCCACCGCCTCCTCCTCCCCTCCCCTCCGCCTCTCCTCCTCCCCCCGTGCCTGCCTGTCTGCCTGCTGCTAGCCTGCCTGCCTGCCTCCTCCGCTCCCTCCCCCCCTCCTGCCATCCCTGCCTGCCTCACCCCGCCTCCCTCCCCCCTCCTCCCACCCCCCCACTTCCCGTCCTTCCACCCGCGGTACCTCCCTGCCTCCCTCCCCCCCCTCCCTCCCTCCGTTCCTGCCTCCTCCTCCATTCCTTTTCCTTATGAACAACTTTCCCCTGTCGCACCCCGAGGCCAATTGTGAGGGCGGGCCGGGCGTTTCGCCTGAGACTTCCTCACCACTCATGACCACGAAGCTTAAACATGACAACCATGTCACAAAAGGAAGGCGGGTGGTTTTCAAAATGTGGCTCTCGCCTTAGCGCCGCACACATTTGTTTTCAAACGTTGCACGGGTTTGGCGGCTTCAGGGCGGGTGGTTTCCCAAATGTGGTTCTCGCCTTAGCGCCGCGTACATTCATTCTCAAAAATTGCAAAGGTCTCAAGGATTGAGGGCGGGTCGTGCCGTGCGCATTCGTTTGGAAAATACAAGTTCTTCACGGATTGAGCGCGTTTTATTTTCAAAATGTGGTTATCGCCTTAGCGCCGCGCACAGTCGTTGAAACAAATAGAAAAGTATCACGGATCCCAAGAATCCCAGATACTGCGTTTTGGAAGGACTCGCGATTATGAGAGCGCAACGGTTACGGTGATTCGCGGTGTTGAGGTCCCAAGAATGGCGTTCAGGCAGAGTCAGGATCGTCAAGATACAACAGTCAGGTTTACCCGTAGCGTTGGAATCCCGAAAGCAGTGTTTTGGCATGCTTCAGGCTTTCCAAACGGATGTCTTCCAACGAGGCAAGTCCCTCTGTGGAAATGAACCGTTGTGGGGGCCTGCGGGGCTTGGGGGAGTGTTCATTTCAACATCGTTGGTGACTCTTGAACTTACACTGGTATTCATCCCCCTCCTCCTCCTCCCCTCCTCCTCCTCCCACCCTCCCTCCCTCCCTCCCCCCCTCCCTCCTCCCCCCTCCCTCCCTCCCTCCCTCCCACCCTCCCTCCGCCCCTGCCCCCTTCTTCCCTCCCCCCCTCCCTCCCTCCACCCCCTCCCCCCCCTCCTCCCTCCTCCCCGGAGCGGGCGCGAAGGGCGGAGGGCCGTGGCCGACAAAGACAGAGGGGCCCAGGGAGACACACACACACACACACACAAAAAAAAAAAACAGGCGCAAAAATCCCAGGTGGCACCATGTATGGAGAGAAGGAGACATATACATACATACAAGTGTGTATATACATATATATATATATATATATATATGTGCATACTAGAACCACGCGCGCGCTACGCGCGCATTTAGGTTCTAGTCGCAGATGAGCCACGGGTGCCGCTGTAAGCCCCGCTGTGGCCACAACGACGATTTCCAGCGTTCTCGGGCCCACGTCATCGACGCCAAGAAACGCGCAGTCGGAACGCGGGGCGCCGCGTTCCCGCGAATCTCACAATCGCCGCCTGTGTTTGGTTTATCGAACCGCGTTTGTTCTCCACTTTCACTCCCGATCTGCCCCGTCATGACACCCCATGTGTTTGCACATGTGTTCGGTTTCCCCATGCCCGATCACGCAGACATCCGCCGGCTCCTGATGTTGGGGTTAACTTGGGGCCTCCGTGCGCGCGCGTGGGAGTGCGTTGTTTTTTGTTCCTCGTCTTAGGGCGACGAGATCTATGCATATCCACTGCTCCTGGCCAGGCCAATCCTGGGCCCAGGAGCGGTGTATACGCCCTCCTGGCCTGGCCAGGGAGGCATATACACATCTCCTGGGCCCAGGATGGGCCTGGCCAGGAGCAGTGGATATGCATAGATCTCGTCGCCCTACGTCTTTGTGCTCCAGGCTTCTCGTCGTCAGCAGTCGTTCCGCTGTCGGGCATCTGCCAAGGGCGCGCGCCGTCGGTCCTCAGCGCCCTTCTCTGCTTCAGTTGTTGTCGAGTCCGCCCACGGGAGTGGGGAAGCCTCTCTGTGCTGGAGGCCAAACCTCACGCTGGCGGAGGAGGAGGAGGAGGAGGAGGAGGAGGAGGATAATCGCACCCGTGGGAGCACAAGGTTCTGGCTCGCGGGGGATGCTGAATGATTTGCCTGGCAAACCCCATGTACGGTGTGCTGCCAGGAGCTCTGACGGGGCCTCTGGCCGTGCCTTCTTGGCGCTCTGGCGAAGCCTTTTCAGGAGGTGAAGGAGGGGGCACGAAACCTGACAAATTGAATAATATAGCCACACCCCGCTCGCTCAGGCAGGTCCGCCCTGCAAGGATGGGAGGAGCAAGAATCGCGTGGGAAAAAAGACGGCGTAGGGATGCCATGCTCTCTCTCTCTCTCTCTCTCTGGCGGGGGTTTCCCTGGCGCTCTGGCGGGGCTTGCCCAGGAGGGGAGGGAGGAGCACGAAACCTAAGGAAAATGATGGTATAGCCACACCCCGTGCGCTCTGACGGGGCTACCTCGGGCGCGGTGGGAGGGCCAAAACAAAACAAGGACTGTATATGGCATAGCAACACCCGGGGTCGCCTTTGAGGGGTGGGAGGGGCAAAGCAACTTGTGAAACGATACGGTATAGCGATGCCCCGCTCGCTCTGGCGGGGCCTATCTGGCGCCGTGGCGGGGCCGTCCCAGGAGAGGAGGGAGGAGCACGAAAGCTGAGGGGTGAAGGGAGGAAGAGGAGAAAAAAAGGGAATGGAGGCAAGGGGAGGGGGCGGGAGGGAAGGAGGGACGGAGGGGGGAGGCCCGGGCCATCTGGGCCGTCTTGGAGCGCCTTGGGGCCTCCCGCTCCCGCTCTGTGGCCCAGCTTGGGCCTGTCCTGGGGCTCACTTGGGCCGTCTGAGGCTCCTCCTGGGCAATTTTCGGGCTCCCTGGGGCCGTCTTGGGGCTCTTTTGGGTGCCTCTTCGGCGGTCCTGGGGCGGTCTTGGGGGCGTCTGCGGCCGTCTTTGAGCATTGGAAGCTCGAGAACGCGAGAAAACGAAAAACATAGAACAAACCAATGCAAGTTGGGCCTCTTTGGGCTCTCTCGGGACGTCTCTCGGAGCTCTCCTGGGCCCTCTTGGAGGCCTCTTGGGCTGTATGTTTGCCGTCTTGAGCTCCTCTTGGGCCACGTTGGAATCATCTCGGCCGTCCTGGAACGCCTTGAGGCCTCCCGCTCCCGCTCTGGGGCCCATCTTGTGCCTCTCCTGGGATTCTCTTGGGCAGCTCTTGGGCACTCTTCAGGCTCTCCGGGGCCGTCTTTCTCTTTGGGGGCCTCTTCGGCGGCCCTGGGGCGATCTTCGGGGAGTATTCGGCCGTCTGGAGCGTTGGAAGCGCGAGAACGCGAGAACGCGAAAAACATTGGAAAAACAACAGAAAATCAAAGATGTGGGCCTCTCAGGGTTCTCGGGACGCCTCTCGGAGCTCTCTCGGGGCGTCTTGGAGGCCTCTTGGGCTGTGTATTGGCCGTGCTGGGCCCGTATGGGGCCACGTTGGGGCCATCTGGGCCGTCTTGGAGCGCCTTGGGGCCTCCCGCTCCCGCTCTGTGGCCCAGCTTGGGCCTGTCCTGGGGCTCTCTCGGGCCGTCTGAGGCTCCTCCTGGGCAATTTTCGGTCTCCCTGGGGCCGTCTTGGGGCTGTTGGGGGCCTCTTCGGCGGTGTTGGGGCGGTCTTGGGGGCGTCGTCGGCCGTCGTGGAGCGTCGGAAGGTCGAAAACGCGAGACACCGAAAAACATCGGAAAAACAAATGGGAATGAAGGAATTGGGCCTCTTCGGGCTCTCTCGGGACGCCTCTCGGAGGTCTCTTGAGGCCTCTTGGAGGCCTCTTGGGCTGTGCATTTGCGGTTTGGAGCCCATCTTGGGCCACGTTGGGGCTATCGGGGCTGTCTTGGAGGGGTTTGTCGAAGTCCCCCCGGCGCTTCTGGGAGCGTCTTGGAGCTCTCTGGGGCAGTCTGGGGGCTCCACGGCCCCTCCGGGATACTCTGGGAGCGGTCTTGGAGGCCCCGGTCCCCCCATGCGCGCTTGAGGCCCCGGCCCCGGGCGCCTGGACCTCTTGCGCGGGGATGTACATATAGGTGTATGTATATATATATATATATATATATATACACATATACATATACATATACATGTATACATACCTACATACCTACATACCTACATACCTACATACCTATATACATACCTGCCTACCTACCTACCTACCTACCTACCTACCTACCTGCCTGCATGCATGCATGCATGCATGCATGCATGCATGCATGCATGCATGCATACACATGTATACATATATATATATATGTATATATAATCATTCCTGACTTCCGCAAATGCCATAGTTTCGTGGGCATCGACGTTTATTTGCGCCCGTGCCTGAATTCCCATGTTCTCTGAACGTTCGTCTCCTCCTGCCCTTCCAATAGACTCCCATAGCTTCGTGGGAACTCGCGTCTCTGTGTGCCCGTGCCTGTTGCTCCACATCCTCTGGACCCTCGTCCCCCCCATCCACTTCCACAACAATTCCCCCTGCCTTCGTGGGAGTCGACTCGTTCTGTCTGTGCCTGTGTCTGTGTTCGAGCCTCTCTTCCCCTTCCCGAAGAGAAGACGGGGCCTCGTCTCCCTCCTCCTCCGCCTCCGCCTCCGCCTCCGCCTCCTCCTCCTCCTCCTCTTCCTCCTCCTCCTCCCCTCATTCTCCTCCTCCTCCTCCTCCTCCTCGAGGTCCTCCTCCTCCTCCTCCTCCTCATCCTCCTCCTCCTCCTCCTCCTCCTCCTCCTCCGCCTCCGCCTCCTCCTCCTCCTCCTCCTCCTCCTCCCCCTCCCCCCCCTCCCGAAGAGAGCAGACGGGGCCGCCCCAGAAAGCGCGGCCGGCGGGCTCCCGCCTAGGCCAGCCCAGGGCTCCAGGCAGGCCCGGAGCTCCTCGTCGGGCGTGGAGGGCCTCCCCGCGCGCTGCGGCAGGCCGTTTTTGTGCCGAGGGCCCCCGCGCAAGTCGACGCCACGAAAATTGATACACCGACACCCTCCAACGAGCTTTTGCACGTAGCCTTCAGGGAGGGCGGCGGTGTGCAAAGTCGCCGGCTGGCTCTCGGTGGTGATGTATACACCGCCGCCCTTCCCTGAGGCCCAGGAGCAGTCCATTGGAGGGTGTCTATGTACACATTTGTCTGTGGCGCAGAGTGGCCACCTTCGCGGTAAGCACCCCGACAAGCCACGCCGTAAAGTCGCAGGATCGCGTCGCATCGGCGATGCATCCGCGACGTGGGCGATGCACATCGGCGACGTCGGGTCGGAGAGCGTCGGGCTCCACATCGAGTCGCATCGCCGATGCATCGGCGATGCGGCGCGATCCTCCGACCCCATCTGAGAGGCCTAGAAACATGAAGTAGGAAGGCGTTGGAAGTACAGTCAAAACTGATAGTCAGGATGCGCGATAAGGATGCAAGCCCCTTGGACGCCCATGTCGAAGCTTTTCGGGCGGGGCTCGCAAATCGACGGAGGTTGAGGATGGACCGAGGAGGCAAGGGTGCAAGGGTGCCCTTGGGAAGGTGACCCATCCTTGTCATCGGTTTCGACTGTAGCAAGCGCACCCGAGGGGGGGGGAATCAATCAAACAGGGCAGGCCTGTTCAGCAAACGCGCAGGACCGTCTGGCACGCGCCAATTATGCGGACCTGGGGGGGTGCTCCTCCCTTGAACCGTGAACCCTTGGTTGGCCATCGGCCTCAGGAGGTCTTTGGCGGTCTTCGGCGCTCGCCTGGCGATCTTCGGCGGTCTTCGGCGGTCCCTGGGGCGGCGCGGAAGCTGGACGGCTGCGTTCAACTAGGGGGCACTTGATCGAACACCCAAACGGATCCCTGCGCTTCAGGGCTTCGGAGCTTGTTCAAACATTTGTGTGGCGCTTCTTTGTTCCTCCTCCTCCTCCTGCTCCTCCTCCTCCTCCTCGTCCTCCTCCTTCTCCTCCTCCTCCTCCTCCTCCTCCTCCTCCTCCTCCTCCTCCTCCTCCTCCTCCTCCTCCTCCTCCTCCTCCTCCTCCTCCTCTCCCCCTCCCCCTCACCCTCCCCCTCCCCCTCCCCCTCCTCCTCC